TTTTTTTTGCAAAACGATTACACAGAATGCAAATGCAGTTCTAGAAAATTCAAGGCAAATGATGGGATTCATCCTGAACATACTCGTTTTCCAAAAAGTCTGTAGTCGAGTTCTTGCCAGCTGACGGCCGTCAGATGTGCCACATCACCAAATGTCATGCCTGGCGTATAAAGGGCGCACAGAAGATGAACCCAGCCACCACCAATGTCTAAAATTTATATCAAAATTCAGAAGATATTTGTTTTTCTTTTTTCATTCTCAGCTTTATCACAGAAATTTTTCAGGACCTCAAACTGATGGCGCCCAATGCAAAGCTGCCAACGGCCTCCTCTCCAAAAATTAGCTAGAAATAAGAAATACGCCGATTCTGATCAGTAATAACGATAGTGATAATATTAGCAAATAATAATATTACTATAACAGTAATAACAATATTGATAGTGCCAAAGATGTTAATGATGAAAATACGGCAATGATAACACAGCAAAATCAGTGATAATATAGTAATGCATCTAAAGTTCGTAAACGAATCGCGCGCGGTTCCTCAATTTCACATTTTACTGATGACGAAGTCGCCAAGCTGACATGCGATAAACTAAGTTATCGGGAAAAATCCTGGCAGAGAGGGACAAAATCTCGCCAAACAAATGCTAAAAATTGACCAAGTATCCAGTCACAAAATACGCAAAACCAACTGGGAAAGACTAATTTGTGCAAGAAAACTACATGGATATAGAAATACCAAGCACACACACACACAAACACGCACACACAACGCACATACACGCACGCACACACACACACACACACACACACACGTGCGCACACATACAGAAATGAAAACAGGAAAACTGTTTGAAGAAATCACAGGTTTGAAATGTGTCCAGCTTAACGTGCAGTACGTTTCTTCGTCACACTTTAGCCATTTTGCCTGCTTCTGTTAAGTGGGAGAAAATCAAACTCGAATTGGTTGCTAAGTCTAAGCAAATTTATCTTGGAACGATACAATTTTGTCACCAAATATTTCAGCTCATGAACTTCCATAACGACCAAAATGAACAATACCCGCTCTTTTGAAAGCACCAAATCGGTTGGGACATAATTCGCAATATGGTGGCTTGGTGAGCCCGTACAAACATGGCTCACAAAACCATGGTTCAGTGGGCGAGCTCGAATCGTTGCTACCAACGTCTGATTGATTCTCAGTGATGTAGCAATCTTCGTGGACCGCTACTCCGCATCTGCAATTTTTTCTGGATAAAATCGCTTCAAAAAGATCGCTGGAAAATTGCGATGGTAAATTAAAAAAAAAAAAAAAAAACGCAATATCAGATGGTCCCATGCTTTTATTCCGGCAATTATACCAATTTATGCACCGTGTTTGCTCGTAATGTAGGACATACGAAGTCATTTCCCCTAGAGTCTTTGGGCCTCAAGCCTTACCCCTGAATAACCTAAAAGCCCAAACAGAACTAGTGAGGGAGAAACTACTGGGAGTTCCAAACATCAAACACTAATGCTCCCGGATGAGTACAGACCGATCCAAGAATTCTGTTGGTAATCTTATGGGAAATAAGGATAGGATTAGTCGTTTGCAAAAACTACTTTTATAATTTAAATTCAACTTGTTCACTTGAAAATATCATATGTAGGATGTTATTGTGACCATGCGAGGAAGTAAAATCCGACAAGCATGATACTTTGCTCGCCTGCTGATAACCGATCATGCACTAGCGAGCAGTATCCACAATAAAGTAAACGAACACCCGAGCAATTTCGTCAGAGGTTATGCGAGTTTCTTCGATTCTCCCGAGATGCGTACCTCCGCTTAGGCAGTGGACACTAACTGGAGGTACGCAGCCCAGAATCGAAGAAACTCGCACGACTGCGTCAAGCTTGTGGGAGCATCCTAGTAACATTACAGGATGCTCGCATCGGATGATCGCATCGGATGGTATTTTTGTACTTACAAGTACTATTTAAAAAAAAAAGATAATACATCCATAAAGAAAGAGAACCACCGCACCTGTTATTCAAGTTGTGGTAGCGCGAAAAAAAAATACAATATATTTGACACGCTTCCCCAAGGGATGGCAAAAAACCAAGGAGAAAATGGGAAATAATCAGCGCTCTGGTCACCAGGTGATGTGGCGATTTTGGTGAATTTTTTGATGCTATGCTATTATTTGACTAGAATATTCGTAGTGCTGAAAAACCATACTTATCGCATTGAATGACTTCGTCACCTCGCACACAAGCACGCTGGTTGAGGCACAGTGTACAGATCAGTTCACCCTGAAGTAGTGCTTGCTGTTAGAGTAAAGCCACTACAACAGCTTTCAGAATGACATCAAATACAGCTTCAAACATGAGCAAGAAGAATCTTGAATTCCCAAAAAAAAAAA